AACCATTCCCGGACAGAGTAATGCCAAGTCATCGAATCTTGAGGTATAAGCGGCTATGTTGGAACCCTTCATCTTAAGGTTCCAGAGTTCGTGTTCTAGCTTCTGTATTTCGCCCCGAGGGCAATACTCTGCGAGAAGAAGCTCCTTCATAGCTTCCCAACCCATGGCATTTGCTACAGGTAAAGTTAAGGATTTGAATCGGCCGTTCCACCAAGTCAGGGATTTGTCAAGGAAGGTGCAGGCGGCAAACTTTACTTTATCAGACTCCGAATAGGCACATATTTCAAAGATTGATTCGATTTTCTCGAACCATCGAGTTAGGGAAATGACACCTCCAGTGCCATCGAAGGATGTGGGCTTCGCATTCATGAAGTCTTTATAGGAACCCCTTCTTCGGTGTTCCTGTCTATCTTCTGGGTTTTGAGGTTGGGGACCACCTCCGAAGCCACCGGGATTCATTTGGGATATGGATGCCACCATTGCAGCAGTCAAAACTATTTGAAGTGATGCAAGATCGAATTGAGGAGGAGGTGGTGGCGGAGGAGGATTGTCGTTGTTCTTCAAGCTGGGTCTCTTTCTTGGAGGCATCTTGATCTAAAAAGATCAGGAAAGAGAGGATCATAAGTCCTCTGAATTGAATCAAGAGATATAGAACAGGGGATATCTCATTAAGACAGATATAACATCATACTAAGCGATAAAGCAGGAAAGAGTTATCAAGACAAAACATTTTATCGCTAGCCGAATGGTCAAGTAACATCGCGTATACGAGGATTTTCTACGAATGATTGGCTCGAGAAATACTCCCATAGTATTTCATGGTTTGCTGCAGCGACAACTCGTTGTTTTGGGATATTAGGTAAGTTTTAGGCATGCTGCGTACCACAGTCACTCCTAAGCACATGTTGGACGTGTCTCGAATGAATATAGTTGGCCAAGCTATATTGATTCTAGACACGACTCCATAACTGCCCAGGTTTAACCGCAGTATACAACACCCATTTACTTATGTTTTGTTCTACTTGTAGTTACGGGTCTCGACGGTTTGGTATACTTGTATACTTTTGATAATACTTATAGTTTTGAAGATACTTTTAATTCAGAGCACTAAGGCCCTTCAGTGTTTATAGTTTTATACCATGTAAGCTTTGGTATACTCCGTTCACTATAAACAAGGGCTCTGATACCAATCTGTCACACCCCGAAAATCAAAGGCGGAAACATTTCCGGGGTGGACTTCCACGTTGTGTATCAAATCCAATGTACATAGTAATCACAGTAAACAACCATTACATTACATACATATGAAAGTTTACATTTGTTTCAAAAATAAAGTTATACAAAATATACATATGCATCATATTAACAAAAGTTGAGACGAGTCTTTTGAGCACTCCATCTTCACCAAAAGATATCGCCGGGTACCTGTCTAACTTGGACCTGAGAATACAAGCGGTTTGAAAATCAGCATAAAGCTGGTGAGTTCATAAGCGGTTTTGTTTTATGAAAATGTATCGGTTTCCTTTAGTTTTTCAGAAAAGGTTTGTTATCCAAGAAAATTCCATATTTTCTTATGTAAAGTTAGTTTAGTTATCATTTGTTACCAATTCGATTATGTGTTGTATTTTACCCCAGGAAAATTCCATATTTTCCTAAATGAAAGATTTAATAACACAAAGTATAGTTTAATACACAAAACTATATATAGGAAATCTTGGGATCACTATCCCGAAAGAGATATAAGGTAGTTGGACACATATGAAAATACAGATTTAAGATCATGGGACTACCATCCCGGGCTAGACACAAGATAACTTGATATATATGAAAATATAGATTGGGAACCATGGGATTACTATCCCGGACAAAATATAGATTTAGACCATGGGATTATCATCCCGTACTTGATATAGATTGAAATCATGGGATTACTATCCCATAATAGATATAGATTAAAAATCATGGGGTAGACATCCCGTACAAGTTATAGATACCATATAAAAAGTAGATACGGAATCGAAACAAAGTCAAAACGATACTGTGAATAAACTTATATTAATACATATTGTGAGTCGGGTAACCATGCTAATACGACAACGAGACCTCCTTGACGTTAGTCAGACGTCGAATGATATCCAGAAATTTGTCACCCCAGGCGTGCCCGCCTAACTGTAGCTAGCAGTTAAGGTGTGGGATTGTCAGTCCCGAATAGATCTATTCACAAATTCCTCGCTCTCCCTCCAGGAGACTCTGGTTACACTTCCGGGGAGGATTTACTGATCATCCATAAAGGGTAGTGACTATCTCACAAACTAGTACTAAACTATTCACAGGGTTCTCATACGATATCAAGATACAGAATATTATGAAACGTAATACAGCGAATATAGATACATACAATGAAACTATCTGACAATACATTCAAATGATACGGAGATAAACTGAATCAGACATAGTTTATCTAATAACTTTATATAGATATCAGTAAATGATATAACGAACAATAAAGAACCCCAAATTATTACCATACTAATTTGATTAGTTTGGTTATTTTCTTAATTAAAATACATTTAGTTGTAATTGATAAATCATTCCTTATGCTCAAGATAATACATAAGGAGTAAAAGAGTTTATAAGTTTTTCAGAAATATTTGAAACATATCAATATTATGGTTTGAAAACAGTTATAGTTTGCTTGTATTCCCCCCCTGAAAACATTGAAAAACACGGAAAAGGGCGTAGGGGTATGAACTCACCGGACGAGAAATGTGACGATTTTGATGCTAAGTATAATGTAAAGATACACACGAGGTTCCCAAATATAATGTAAAGATACACATTTGTATCTAATTAGGACTTAGATTGATTATTTGATAAGGACAATTGCTTCTAGTCGCGAAAACACTCTGATACAAGTGTTTGGAGGGACCCGGGTGGTGTTTAAGGACATGTAATGATGCGAGGGACTTAGGAAATGAGTTTACTCCCCAAGAGTAAACTTCTAAATGGTGTGTACGGCCTATACACCCATTCCCCATGAGTTTACGGCCGTAAACTCATGGTGGGTGGTTTATGGTGCAATTTGGACTTCAAACACTTAGGGGACAATTTCTAGGTTTGGTTTAAGGGTTTGGAATAAATTTTAAACACCAAAATGACACATTTTAGGGAGTTTATGGCCTAGCATGGTCTCATCGCCGTAAACTCCTATAAACCCATGAAAAGTTGTGTTTTTGGATTCCAAACTAATCACATGTGATTGCTAAAATTGTTTCAAGGTTTTTCATGCATTTGCTTGATGATTTGAAGGGGGTTTTGGAGTTTACGGCCCATGAGACCCCCCTCATGGCCGTAAACTCTCCTAGAGAGGGATTCCTTGTGTTTTAAGGCCAAAAACTTGTTTATATGTATTTCTAAAATTTCCTTAAAGTCTTGAAATGAATTTGGGACACATTATGACACACTTTTTGGAGTTTACGATCAAGGGGCACCTTCTATGGCCGTAAACTCTTAAAATGAAGGGTTTTGATGTGTTTAAGGCCCTTAAACTATTTTTGGTTGGTCCTATGATTTATTCCAAGGCTTTTGGTGGTGTTGGATGGCTTTCTAACACCTTAGAAATGAATTTGTACCATGTTTCATGGAGTTTACGGCCCAAGCACAAGCTTTGGCCGTAAACTCATATAAGTCCCCCAAAAATCATGTTTAAAGTGTTCCAAGGCTAAAATACTTATTCTAGAAATCATATCCAGGTCTTGTTGAGGTTTTGGAAGGGTTTAAGGTCATGAAAACCCCTTATACATGAGTTTACGGCCTAAGCATGTTCCTTGGCCATAAACTCGTTCAAATGCCTCAAAATCCATGTTTTAAATGTTATATGTCCATTCCATGAAGCCATCTAGCCATATCCAAGGTCCAATTGTGTTTAGGAAGGGTTTTTGTGCTCCAAAACCCATTATATATGAGTTTACGGCCTAAGAGGGTTCCAGGGCCGTAAACTCATGAATTGTGGATACCCTCCCTATCACAACGCGTTTTAAAGCCATATCCAAGGTCCAATTGTGGATACCCTCCCTATCACAACGCGTTTTAAAGCCGTGAGGGCAGCAGATCCCATAAGAACTCTGCAGTTAAGCGTGCTCGGGCGGGAGTAGTACCGGGATGGGTGACCCCCTGGGAAGTCCTCGTGCCGAGTGGCCCAAAGTGGACAATATTGTGATACGTGCAAGAGGGGGATGTTACAAATGGTATCAGAGCTAGGGCACGGGTCGATGTGTTCGACGGGGACATGGAACCCTATAATGGGGGGGTGAAAGTGGGTTAGATCTGATCCCACATCGGCTGGGAAGGAGAACTAAGCATTCCTTATAAGGGGTGTGGATACCTTCCCTAACACAACGCGTTTTAAAGCCGTGAGGGCAGCAGATTCCATAAGAACTCTGCAGTTAAGCGTGCTCGGGCGGGAGTAGTACTAGGATGGGTGACCCCCTGGGAAGTCCTCGTGCCGAGTGGCCCAAAGCGGACAATATTGTGATACGTGCCAGAGGGGGGTGTTACAAAGAAGGTTACATAACAAGCTAGGGAAAGTACCTTAGAGATTTGAGGCCTTAAATTTGAGTTTTGGACCCTTAAACTTTGGATTTAGGAGAGAGGTTAGAGAGAGAGTAGAGAGAGGAAGAAAAAGCTTCAAATGGGTGCTTAAACACATTTATATAGGTCCTAAAACTTGGACAAGGTGGAATTCTACCCGATACCGACATTAAATGGGGCTTTAGGTTGCACCCGATTAAGTTACCGTAACCCGGCGGGGACGTTTTTAAAACTCATGAAATAAATATTTTGGGCTAAATACATGAGTTCCTAAAGGGTTTGGACACTCATTGGATGATAATAAACATATAACTTTAATTAACTTAACCCAAAAACGACATCGGGGCGTTTTGATATACGACAAGTTATACGGGTAGAATGGGTTATCGGCGATTGAAAACTTCGGGTTGTTACAGAGTATCACCTCGGCCCGAAGCCTCTTCTTCTGAGCTTTCGCTCTCAGATTCCGATGGAGGAGCGTTCTTGTGCTTAGGAGGGACATATTCTGTATTGCTTGAAGATTGCAAAATAAGTCGCCGAGCGGGCTTCTTTTGCTTTTTCAGTTGATCCTGAGAAGGGGCAGCTTTATCATATTTTCGCTTCTTGGGGGTTTGCCCCTTGGTTTGCTTAGTGACCTGTTCACCCTTCTGTGTTTCAGGCTTCTTGCCCCTCTTGGCTGGCTTGTCAGCCTCTTCAATGGACCGAACCATTGCCTGCGTAAGCTCTATTGGGCCAGCAGATGGATGCTTCCTGTATTCTTTTAGAACATTACTCGACTCAGAAATACGACTGAGCATTGGTTTAGGAATGGATCCAATAAATGAAAACTTCGATGGATCAGTAACAATGATTTTCGTCGTATGAAAGGTAGAAATGGATGAGAGCAAGGAGTCCTCCATTATTGGAACACGAAGGCGGTCCATTGCCCATTGGGTGATGATAAACCAAAAACGCCCACATGAAATCTCAGAATGCCTGGATGAAGAAACCAAGCTTTGAACCAACTGCTGCCAGATGATGGACCCATAATCTAGGTCAATCCCATGGTACAACCCATACAGTACCGTCATGAAGGATTTGCTTGCGCCATTGGAGCCGTCGCTTCTCTCAGACAGTCCCTTGAACAACAACGTAAAAATGCCATTCCATTGAGGAGGAAGGCAGGACTTCTTGAACTTCGTAATGGTGGTTAGGGTTTCAGTATACCCCATCTGATAGAACATGGAAAACAATTGACCAATTGTAATGGATTCAGGGTTTACCAGAGATGAATCTTGAGAAAGACCAATTAGGGCACATAATCGATGCTTGGAGATGGAGGTATTCTCATTGTGGAGTTCAAAGTGAATGCGTTCATTAATCCTGTCATAGAAAGCAGTAGAGTAGAAAAGAGACAAGAACGACATGGGAACAACTTCAACTTTAGTCAGTGCGTCGACGAGTGGTGAGTATTTGAGACACTTAACCACATACATCATATACAGCTCATAGATGAATGGCGTAAGATCGATGATCAGATTCTGGTGGGGTTTGATGGTGAGAAGAGGTTGACGAACTGAAGTATCGTGAACTGATGATGAGTTTGCCATTGATGTAGCTTGAAAAAGATAATGAACAGTTGCAAAGAATCACCGGGTTTCTTTAAGAGAATTTTGGAAGTGATAAAGTATGAGAGTTTACCCTTCAAATTCCTTTTATAGGTGCAATGAGGAGAGAGAAAAATCCGGCTGAAATCTTGGAGTATCTCAGAAATAGCACCTGAGTTGATGGGTCTATAGTTGGCATGACGAGGATGACGCAGGAGAGAGAAAAACTGTTTCCCTTTTTCACGCCTTTTCATAAAATTCACTTTTTCAAATCGCCAAGACGTTTGGATAGCTGCTGATTCAGCATCCACTTTATCCCAATCATTTCTTATAACGCTTGAATCTCTGTGCCTTTAGCGCTTTAATAATCAATCTGAATCAGAACTAGAATTTGGAAAATTAAAAATTTTCGTTCATATGGTGTAAAAGATATGGAAATAAAACGAGATTTTAGGGATCATATGTGATGTCGTAATCTGACATAAAACAATTGATTCTGGGCAGAAATCACTTCCTTCAATGTCAAGAGAGACATTAAAGTGCTTGCTTGGTTTCCCATGGAATGACGATCAATAACTTTTTGAGAAGTTTTGAAAGGCTTCTTTTAAAGGTTAAAGAGGGTGGCTTTTGCTTCAATTCATAATTTTGATACTTAAAATAAGACCGAAACTGAATAAAGTACTTGTGAGATCATTGTGATCTTTTGAACAAGTAGGTATGATAAACTTTATAGTGACATGGGAATGAGGAAATCTAAAAAAAATGGATCTTTTAGGGTTAGAGAAGCGTTGGTGAAAGGCAAACTCATAAAGATCACTCAAAATAAAAAAGGAGATTTCATAGGGTAACAAGTAAGATCTTGAATTGTTAAATTCACCGTCAATTCATTAATGGTGTTGAATTTTGGGTTTCACTTAGTACATAGTAGCATGAAACTAAGATCATGAACACAGACTTGGTATAACCATAAACCTCAGTGGTTAAGACTGAGAGTCTCAGGGGTTAAATTGATGAAATGAATTATAATGGAGAAAGATGATGGAGATGGTATAAGAAGCGAAAGTACCTCTGCAATAAAGAAAAGAAGGACCAAGCAGAAAACTCAAAACTCAATATGATCAGAGTAAGGTAGCTCATGATTAGAGTGAATCGGATAGGCTGGATTGGGAAAACACGATTGGTATATATCATGTTATTAAGGCTTCACTCAAAATCTATCGAGGCTTTAGTCAACATACAACAGCATGCTTCTAGGGACTCCTAACTAGGAAAACTATTTTCTTGCCTTAGCATTGCCATCAAGAGCCATAGTTACAAAAAAAAATGAATTTTGTGAGAGTTGATCAATTGAACAAAAGAAAAAAATATTTTTGGATTTCTTAAAAACTTTATAAAAATAAAATATTTTTGGAATTTTATAAGTGGAAAAGAAGTAAAGAAAAGATGTACAAAAGAGAACAATTGGAATGCCTTAAAAAATGAACGAGTTTAGAAGGACCGAACCCGAAATAGACCGAACGTTCGGTTCATTTCGGTTCATGGACCAACTTCACCCAAAATAGACCGAACGTTCGGTTCATTTCGGTTCGCTCTGTTTCGCTTGTTACCTTTATGAGAGCGAAGGCAATTTTGGTACAGACTCAACTTGCATCATTCATAGACCTTGTAGAATCTTATTGAAGCTTGCTTCAGGTAAGGCCTTCATGAATATGTCTGCCAATTGATCAGTCATTCTGATGAAGTGAATTTCTACGTTACCATCTTCGACGTGATCCTTGATGAAGTGATATCTCAGTGCTATATGCTTGGTATTGGAGTGTTGCACTGGGTTGTGACAAATCCTAATTGCGCTTTCAGAGTCACAATATAGTGGGATTTTCTTCATGTTTAACCCGTAATCCCGTAGTTGACTTTGTATCCAAACGACATGAGAAGTACAGGATGTTGCAGCTATATATTCTGCTTCTACAGTGGATAGCAAAACACAGGATTGTTTCTTCGATTGCCAACTGAATAATTTACCATCAAGAAATTGGCATCCTCCTGTGGTGCTTTTACGATCCAATCCACAACCACCCAGATCTGCATCTGAAAATGCTTGAACAAAGAATCTTGAGTTGGCTGGATACCATAGGCCGAAAGAGGAGGTTCGCTTCAGATAGCGAAAGATGTTCTTCACGGCTTGAAGATGAGGTTCTCGTGGGTTGGCTTGAAATCGTGCACAGTAAAAAACAGAAAACATTATGTTGGGTCTACTGGCTGTGAGATACATTACAGATCCACTCATTTGTCGATAAAGTGTTACATCAGCTGCTGGTTTCTCCAATGATGGTGTGAGTTTAGTACCAAAAGCCATAGGCACTTTCACTTTAGAGTCTCCCATAATTCCAAACTTGGTTAGCAAAGTCTTGGTATATGCTTCCTGATTAATAAAAATGCCTTCGGGTCCCTATCTAATGTTTAATCTAAGGAAAAAGTTAATTGGACCCATTGAGCTCATCTCAAATTTAGTTTCCATCAACTTTCTGAATTCAGCTGTTAAGCTAGGATTCGTGGAGCCAAAGACGATGTCATCAACGTAAATTTGGACTATCATAAGGTGGTTACCTTCTCACTTACGAAAGAAGGTTGGGTGAACCGAACCTTGTTTGAATTTAGACATTTTTAAGAAATGAGTGAGAGTTTCATACCATGCTCTGGGAGCCTGTTTAAGACCATATACAACTTTGTCAAGAATACAACAGTGATCGGGATACTTCTCATTCATGAAGCCCGGCGGTTGCTCAACATATACGGTTTCTTCAAGTTCACCGTTGAAGAAAGCACATTTGACGTCCATTTGATAGACTTCAAAGTTCTTGCGAGCAGCGGACACAAGAAAGATACAAACATATTCTAATCTTGCCACGGAATCGAAGGTTTCTTCATAATCAATTCCCTCTTCCTGACAATATCCTTTGACGACTAGCCTCGCTTTGTTACGAATGACATTTCCCTCTTTGTCCATCTTGTTTCTGAATACCCATTTGAGACCGACAACCGAAGCATCCTTAGGAGTTGGAATAAGACACCATACCTTGTTTCGTTTAAACTCATTTAACTCATCATGCATGGCTTGAACCCAGTCTGAATGATCAAGAGCTGAGTTGACAGTCTTTTGTTCAATTTTAGAAACGAATGAATTGAACATGCAGAATTCTGCTTTTGAAAAAAGTGCAGCCTGTTTCGCTTTGATTTGAGAGCGAGTTAACACTTTTTCTGATGATTCCCTAATAATTTGAGTTTGCGGATGATCTTTGGTCCATTTGACAAGTGGAGGAAACTTTGGATCATAAATAGGATACAGTTCAACATTAATTTCTTCATTTAGTTCAGACATGGTGTCATCATCACCAACATTGGTGTTCTCTCCCTCGAAGAATAAACCCTGTTCAGGACTAGCATTTGTATCTTCTTCATTGACTAGAATTTCAGTGGAGCTTGATGAATTTGGCGATAAGTTATCCCCTTGGAATGAAGGACCTTGATCATGAGGAGTAGAGGAACCCTCCCCCTGGACAGTAGGATGGTCACCAGAAGGTTCGGTTGTGTTTGTGTCTTCGGTGTCTTTGGATTGATTTTCAGCCATCTTCTTAGCAGCATTGTCTATAACCTCTTTCAGTTTATCAACTTTGTTGTCTTTTGCAGTTGATTCAGAGTCAATCGCCTTTTGAGGCTCATCAAACAAGAGCATGAATTGGTCGAAAAGATTCAAGATGGAGATAGTAACCTGACCATTCTTCGAAAAATATGTCATGTGATGCATCTTCAGTTGGTTTCAGCTTCTTAACATAACTATCGTCAAAAGTGACATAGTATGTTTCTTCAATTTTCTTCGGTTGTTTATTGAGAACTCTATACGCCTTGGAGTTCAAGGAGTAGCCTAAGAAAATTCCTTCATCTGCCTTGACATAAAACTTGTTTCGATTCTCTTTGGAGTTGAAAATGAAACATCTTGAACCGAACACATGAAAGAATTTCACGTTTGGTTTTCGGTTGTTCAGGATCTCGTAAGGAGTAATTGAGAATCGTTTATTCAAGTATGATTGATTCTGAGTATAACATGCAGCCGCGATTTCATCAGCCCAGAAATACAATGGCAAGGACGTGCAGCATAACATGGTACGAGCAGCTTCACATAGTGATCGATTTCTCCTTTCAACAATGTCATT